GGATAAAGATGTGTTTTTTTAATAAAATGGAGTACTACTCAGACATAAAGAATGAGAAACTAGAGACATTTATAGCTAAATGGATGCATATTGAGGCCATACTCTTAAGTGAAATAAATAGGACACACGTGTAGATACTGAATAGTTTCTCTAGTGTGAGAAACTGAAAGTGTAAATAAGGGTTAAAATGATTAAAATGAATAATTGATAATTTGAAACAGGAAGAAAAGGTCCAAAGGGGTAAGGGAAGTGGGAGGAGAAGGGGAAAAGGAAAAAATGGAAATGAAGTCTATGTAAATAGGGAAAGGTGGAGGGGGTGAACGAGTGCAGGAAATGGGAAAAAATAAGAATCAAGATACATCAGGTACAGGTACAAGCACCCAATGATGAATGTAAACATATTGTATGCCTAAAATGTACCAATAAAAGAATTTAAGGATAAAAAAAATAAATTACATGTTTCTTTTTCTTTTGCGGGGAGGGCTTCACACTGAGCTGCATTCATAACAGGGTCTTGCTAAGTCACTAAGTTGCCTAGGCTGGACTCAAATTTGAGATGCTCCTGCCTCAGCCTTCCAGAGTGCTGGGATTGCAGGTGTGTGCCACATACCTGCCTGGCTAGTTGCAAGTTTCTTTAAAGTATAAAGCTGATAATCTTCTTACATATAAGTAGCATTTTCTCCCTTTGACCCCCAAATATGTAGTAGGCTCATACATCATTTTAAAAACCCATAAAACATTCTGCAAGTTTTAAATTCTTTGACAATATAAAAGTTCTTTACTATATGTGCTTGTGTTCATCAGTTTAAGCCTGTGTTTGGAGTTTTCACTGTTTCTTTCTCTTTTGACTCCAATTACCAAGTAGCTTTATATTTTTTTAACTTTTAACACCTTGTCTTCACTTTCATAGTGGCATAATTTGCTTATGGTTTAAGTGAAAATATACAATCATTCCTCCTTTTTGCTACAATGGTGGCCTGTAACTACCTCTGACCAAGAGATTTAAGTTACATTTCACTCATTTTTCATATTCTACTAGAATGAATAGTCAGACTATCAGTTAAACCTGATTTTCCCCATTAGCACTGTTCTCCAAGTGCAATGCCAACCAAAGAGCGCCGATAAGAGTCTACATTCTTATGCATTCTGTGCATCCTGACTTTACCATTCCTTCTTTAAAAGTGTTGGGGGTTCCTTTGGAGTGGGGGACAGAAGCAGATCCACCACCTACCTCCCTTCCATGAAAGTTCCTGCTCCCAATTTTTCCTTCCACCTCAAGTCTTCAGGATCTTAGCAGAGCTAAAAAAGCTACAGAAGGAAAGCAAGGCTGTAATTTGATGGTGATATTAAAAACCTATTTCTCCTAGAGGTAGCACATGTCAACATGGTGCTAAGTAACTGTTCGTAACAACTAAATTACAACAATAGATAATTTTAATTGAGGGCTCACCTCAAAGTCTCCCAAAAGGAGTTCTACATTCCTATATCTAACTGTTGTGGGAAAACTGCCTTATTGATGGTCTGCCTGCTGAAAACCAGATTATGTTCTCAAACCCCCAGACCTGCCCTGTTATCCTAAAACCGGAAACACAGGCACTGTAGCACCCAGCACTTATGAGAGGTCATTCTACTACAGAACTAAAATCACATGTTCTTCAAAATACAAATGAATCCAAATTGTATAATACAATCATGTAATTCAATTAGAGTTGATGGAGAGTCAGATTATATATATATATATATATGCCTGGCTATAAAGCAATACTTTAAAAGAGCCTTTTGAGAAAGGATAAACAGAGCTCTTGAAGTATTCAGTTGTATATAAAGTCCAAAACGGTCTAGAACAGTGGTGGCGAACCTATGGGACGTGTCCCGCAGCAGGCTGTTTGTGTATCATTGAAAGCTCTAAAACATTCACCATCACTGGTCTACAATGTAGAAGCCCCCAAAATATTAAAAAGCCAGGTGTGGTGGTGCACCCCTGTAATCTCAGCTACGTGGAAGGCTGAGGCAGGAGGATCACAAGTTCAAGGCCAGTTGGGGCACTTAGCAAGACCTTGTCTCAAAAAATAAAAAGTTTGGGATGTAATTCAGTGGTAGAGTGCTTGCTTACAATGTGTGAGGCCCTGGGTTCAATCCCTAGTATCAGAAAAATCAATAAGTAGTCTGAGATAAATGAGATGAGCTTAAAATGAGTTCACCTAAAATAAACCTAACTCCCTGCATCCCAGCGGCATATAAACTTCTACATGAAGAAGTAGATTGAATTCTCAGTCAAATGAAAAAAGGAGCAGCCTCAGTAAGTGCAGGTGGTACTACTGCCAATTTGGTGGTCTGATGGGGCTTTTAAAAAATGATCACACTTATAGAATGGGCTGAAAAACAATATTTTGACTAGTGATTTCATGTTTGTAAAGGACATTGTTTGGGAATTTCCTCCAATGTTTAGAAGCTTTGTGTTTTGAACACACTGATTGATTAGTTAATCAACAGCTGCTTCTGGGTGCGCAGCAATTGTCAGTCTTGTTGCTATGAGACAAGGACTGCTCTGAATTCGCCAATGTGACAGGCATGTGTGAAGAGCGGGTGGGCTCTGCGCACTCACCACAGTGCCCTCAAGTGGTCATTCTCAAAACTGCTAGAGAAAATACGCTTTCCCCACTGTTCTCTAAACTGCCCTCCTTCCCAGGTGAATTAGCAGGTTAAGTAAACAGTGAGGGACTGTGTATTCTTTTCATGTTCTGCACACAGTGAGGATTTCTTCCTGTGACAAATGAACCATGCTATAGCAAGGAGAAGGGCAAAGCCGAAAGGATGATAACTGAAAGGATGGTGGAAAACATTTTAGTTGGCCCCTCAAACCTCTTGATCTGGATTTCCTCTTCTAAATGAGGAATATGGGTAGGTCTCCCAGTCTCTTCTGCTAGAAAAGGCTCTAATTCTTTGTTTCTTTTACATATGGTCCTTAGAGGAGCATAACCTCAAAGCTAATCTTGTTCAAGTTTTTCCCCCTGAATTCAGTTATGTTGCTTCAAAGTGAATTTGAGCAAATGGCAGCAAGGATGGAGGGGCACTGGACGGCTGCACCCACTGAGATGGGCAACAGCACCAAACTAACAAAGGGCTCTGCCCTGCATGTGCTTGGTGAAAGTGGACACTGTCCTTTCTGAGCAAAAAGACTGGCCCAGGTAAGCATATCTGAGCACCACATGCTCGCCTCTCAGTACCAGGCTGGTGGGATTAATGATTTCACTGAGGTTTAAAAAAAAGCGGGAAATAGAAATACCACAAGGATGCATTCTTGTCTCTTCCCCTGGAGCTTTGAAGAACCTGGTGCCTGGTAGAGAGCCGCTTCTACTCTGAACCCTGCTCCTCCTGTTACCCTCATTTGGAGGCTCCAGGAACCCATATGTAGGGTGTGCCTCACGTTGTGCTTAGAAGACTGGGGGTCTCCCTGTGGCTTAATTCTGGTTCTTGCTAAGTAAACACTGACTTGTGAATGCTGGACTTAAGATTCTCACTTTTGGGGGGGGGGGTACCAAGGATCGAACTTGGGACCTTGTGTTTGCGAGGCAGGCAGCGGAACCACTGAGCTAAATCCCTGGCCCAAGATTCTCACTCTTAATTGGTCATTATTTGAGAAATTTAAAAAGAAAATGTCTACAATAGTAAGCTGTGTGAAATTGTCATCCTGAGTTTCCACCTACTAAGGTAAACTCAGAACATTAAAGACAGCATGGAGTTTAGTAATCATCTAGTATGTCTCCTTTAGTGTAAGCTAAGACCTAAAAATAAATAAAAATAAACTGAAACAAAATTTTTACAATCTAATTTTTAAAAATGAGTACTCTGTTTAAAAAGACAAAAAATAAAACTACTGCAGGGGTCTTTTCTATGTTCTAACAAGTAGATAAATATCTGGTTCAGTTTGCCAAGAAGAATGTGAGGACACAAAGAAAGAAAAGTACGCAATATTCTTTTCATCTCTTGGATTTGATTATAGATGTTTTGTACATTAAATGTTCCAATTTTAGGGCCAGGGATTTAGCCCACTGCGCCTGCCTAGCAAGCCCAAGGTCCTGAGTTTGATCCTCTGTACCAAAAAAAAAAGTTCCAATCTTAACATATGTGCTGCCGAAGCGAGCACTTGTACATACATTAAATGTTTTGTTGTTCTTTGCCCCGATCTCAAACCCAACCTTATTTCCTGGTGTCTGTGAGGCTTCTTTTTATATCTTAAACATTCAGCACTACAACTCCAAGAACTAATTCACAGCCAGGGGAAAGAAAAAGGTCAGCTAATTAAATTTCATCTAGTAGGAGGGTGTGGTGATAAATGCCTGTAACCCCAGTGCTGGGAGCTGAAGTAGGAGGATTACAAATTCAAGCCCAGCCTGGGCAAACAGTGACTCAATGTCTCAAAATAAAAAATAAAAGAAAGGCTGGGGATGTAGCTCAGTCTGAAGACCTGAGTTCAATCTCTAGTCCAAAATATAATATATAATATATATAATATATTATATATATGTATTTTTTTAAAATCTAGAGTTCAATTTTTTTTTTTTTTGAGACAGGGTCTTGCCATGTAGTTCAGGCTGGCCTTGAACTCAGGGCAATCCTCCTGGCTCAGCCTCCCAAGTGCTGAGATTACAGGCACGCAACACTACACCAGGCTCAGTTCTACATTTCTTTAGAGAATGGCAAGGTTCTTGTCCACCTTACAGTTCCACCATGGTAGTGGTCAGGAGGCCCAAAGAGATATGGCTGGATGTAACCACTCTTTCTTTACAAGAACAAGAAATTTGAAATGTCGAGGAAAGAGTACAAATGCCAGCTCTGTCACATTCAAATTTGGGCTAGTCGCATTACTTTTGAGTTCATTTCCTCATCTATAAAACAAATGACAATAAATATATCACAGAATTATTGAGGCTAAATGAGCTAATGCATGTGAAATTGATGAACAACTTTTTGCAGCTCTTGTTAACTAGGGCATGAAAATGCACACCAGTCTTGTTTTTAAGCCCTTTATTATTTAATAGAAAACATTTTCTAAATGCATTGGTCCTAGAATTGAAATAATGGAGACCTGAGAAGCAGAAAAAAGTCTTAAGTTATCATAGGCAATGAAGAGATTGAGTTTGGCTGGGGTACAATGCTGTAACTTGGAGAGAGATGAGGGGAAGGAAGCCCTGGCTGGAGAAATGGACTTGTGTCTGAGTTTCTAGGAGAAAGGAGAAGATACTCCTTGTCCTTTCTGCCCTGGTGGATGGTGACAGGGCTGGGCAGCTGAAGATCACTGGACTGCAGAGCAGAAAGAAATGCCATCTGCCACTTCTCCCTTTGACATTTTCTGGGTGTGCCTAGCAAGGACACTTGCTCATTTGCTTATGTATAGCTCAGAGGGGGAAGATGAGGCAGCCTAGATGGGACCCAGGTGTGAGGAACACATCACATCAAATTCAGAATTTTCAAGACCTCATCAGTAGCTTGGATTAAGTAGGAAGAAATCAAGAGAGAGACAAAAGTTTCAACAACACCATAAGCATTTTTTCACTAAGAATTCTATTTAAACCCAATTATAGGAGACTTCCCAGTAAGCTCCAATATATTCAAATACATGAATTGTTTTCCACATATCTGGCCAGTGATTACTTGGAAGAAGGTAATGTGAAAATATAGAGAGTATTAACTACTCCTAAATGCTTAAAGAAATATATGTTTCAGAAATGTAGGACATGGAGGCTTTCACTGAAACAGAAGCCCATAGTTATAAAAATTCAATAGAGAGAAGAAAAAGAAAACAGAATAAAATAGAGTGGAATCATTAACCAAAAACTGTGCCCTAATGCTTAATAAAAAGTAGAAAAGAATTTTTTATGCATCTTAGCTAATATAGTAAAATAATGACCATAGTTAAGGTGAATGCTTTTCCTAAAACAAAAAGCAACTAGCATAAAAGTCACAAAAACTATAATCAACAAATGAATGCATTTTACAAAATAACTCAGAAAGTTTAGTGAAAAAATATGTAAATAACTTGTTTTATAATTAAAGATTTTAATCTCCAGTGCATTACAATAAGTGAATGAATTCTGAGAAATTAAACAAAAGTATTTGGTGGATTTGAGTTAATGGGCCAAGCAAGCTTCTTTTCCTTGGCTTCTCTGTCAAATGAATCATAGATTGAGTCTTTAGTTATAGTTATGGCCATGGGAGGGATTTCTGAAATGCCAACATAGTTTTTTTTGGCCATCCTTGAACTTGTTGTGATAGTATAGGCATTGCTTCGATAACATTTCATCGAGGACATGCAAAAAGTCTCTTTCATCCCCCTCCTAAAATTGGCATTATAAATTGAGTAAAGAGTAGGTTTAGAGGCTGAAGAACTAAAGGATATCCATGTGATCGCTGTGAAAACAAGGGAACTTTTCTTATAATCTTGTTCATGGGGGTGCCAGAGCTGAGCTACATGAAAAGGCAGCCAGGAGAACAAAAACAAGAGATTTAAAATGAGGAACATCTTGACCGTTTTCACTTTTGTCCTTGGGACAATGTTCATTGTTCTCCTCACTGTTCGACCGTCAGAGCCTATTCTCCAAATATACTTTATGACCTTCTGGTAAAACAGGATTATGAGCACAGATGGAATCACAAAGCCCACTAAGAAGTGGATGACAGTATAGGCAGTCCCTTCCCAGGAGGAAGGGAAGAAATAGTTACAATGACTGTCCCAGTTGGAGCCGTAGAAAAAGAGGACTGGGGTCACAAAGGCTGCATCAAAGATCCAGGACGCTGCGATCATTTTCTTGGCCTTTTCTCTGGACACCTTGAAGCTCAGCGGGTAAACAATGGTGTAGAACCGGTCTATGCAGATGGAGAGAAGAACATAGATCTGGACACCTGGAGTGAGATACTGAAAATAGCGTACAACCTTGCACATTGCACTCCCAAGTGTCCACCTTCCAGTGGTGACCTGGAGCAGGACAAATGGAGTGCTGGCCACACTGATGAGAAGATCAGCACATGCCATGGAGACCACAAAGTAGTTGGTGGTGGACTGAGTCCTTCTACTCCTATGGATGACCAAGCAAACCAAGGAATTGCCAAAGATAGAGAACAACCACAGAGTCCCAAAGAAAATGCTGGCTGTGGCCACTTCACCGGGTTTCAGTCCGTATCGAAGGTCTGTTCTGTTGCCCATCCTCCTGTGCTCATCACATAATTCCATCAGGTCATGGCTTGGCAGAGGTGCGGCTGTTTCAGTGCAGCTGTGGTTCTGGAGGGGCACCAGAAGCGAAGGAACAACCAAAGGTGGCTTGATGTTATCCATTCTGTGAGCAAAAACCATATTCACTTTTTTTCTCTTAGTTCTGGATAAGAAAAGAAGAACGAGGCCTCCTGTTAAAATGGTATCATATAGGCAGACTACTAAGACTAACAATCTCATCTGACACTTAGATTGGTTGCCATTTGTCAATGAGAAGGACTTGTGGATTGGGTGGAAAACATAACTACTATCCAGAAAACGTTCTGGCCCCATTTCTTTTTCATTTTAGAATGAGCTCAGCCTCTCTCTGGCCTCATCATCTCCTGATCCTTTGTCAGCTATAGTAGAACCCATACCAAGCCCCATTCCTATACATGTCATCATTTCTTCCCCAACTGGGGAAATCACAGAGGGCAGGAAGCCCAAATCTGGCTTACGGTAAAGGCATTACCACCAGCTGAAAAACTACTGGATTTCTGGGCAAGTATGAGAGAAGTTCCTAAATGTTGTAACAGTAATGTAATAAGGCTGCAAGAGAGAAAAGCTTGAGCAGTGGAAAACACACAAAGGTTGACTATGGGAACAGCTACGAAACAGGAGTCTGTGAGTACAGACTGGCTGGCTCCTGGGAAGAACTCTGCCGGACCGACTGCAGATTTTCTATTACTGGAGCATTATGGTAACACACAGAGCAAGCACACCACTGCCACATAAGGCAAAGGTAGCTCCCAATTTAATGACACATACAAATAGCCTGCTTTTTACAAAAAGTGATGCAGTCCATGTACTAATAGTGTGCCACCTATCTATCAATGACGTATGTTTTGATGCCATTGTGTTGTTCCTGTTTCATAAAATAACACTGACTGAAGAATATAAAGATGTCCTCTCAGGGATGTAAGCAGATTACTACAGACCTTAGAACAGTGAGGTGATTAAATACAACAAAATGTAACTGTTAACATTACTCAGCAACTTTAAAAAGCTTTTGATGCTTAGATATAAAATATTATCAACATAAATTTAATCTTTGATACTTTTTGTACTGCTCAGTGAGAAAAAAAATTACTTTTTAATAGGAAAAAATATTGCATAATTGTGGTTCATTCAATTAAAACTGAGGTGATTTTGGTTACAGTTGGATTATAAAGGTTTAACTTGGTCTGAATCCATTAAGTAGAAAGAGAAACCATAACAATTGGATCCATAATAACTATAGCTACTATGATTATTAAGTTAAGAGATAAACATGGGAATTTTTGAAATTTTATCCAATAAAAGTAAAGAGCCCTGGTGGGGTTACAGCCACTAAGTTGTTAAGAGTCCGCCTGGCCTGAGGCACAAGCCGATGTTGCTCCATCACAGGCTTCATCTTTTCTTTTGTTACTAGGGTTCGAACTTGGGACCTTGTGCTTGCAAGGCAGGTGGTGGAACCACTAAGCTAAATCCCGGGCCCATCACAGGCTTTAGTAGGAGCTCTCTTGGTGCGTTTCTATGACTGCACCTTACTTAAAAAACATTTCTGGTGTGACAGGCAGAATTAAAGAAAGATTCTTAATGAAAGAATAGTTCTTACTGATGCATTTTTTCCTTAAAAGATTTTTTTCCCCCTTCATTTCTGGGAGTGTTTATAGTGTCTTCACCAAGAAACTAAATTCAACAGAAGTCTGGTGTGCAGGGCAATGTACTAAATACCAGATCCATATTATCTTCAGGCTTCTTTTGCCCGTGTAGCAGCCTTATTTGACCTCTCAAAGAGAAATGTAAACTAATTTGATGTTTCGACAACTAAAGGACTTTTTGAAGCATGCTGCCAAATGATAGGCAATTGTAAAAAAGCAACCATACTTTCCTTATTTAAAAATAAATAGGGCTGGTGATTTAGCTCACCGGTTCCAGCGCCTGCCTTGGCAAGCGCAAGGTCCAGAGTTCAATCCCCGGTACCAAAAAAAAAATATTTTTTTTAATAAATAAATAAATAAATGTGAAAACATGGGTAAAAAAAAAAAACAAGCAGGGAACAAGCTCTAAGATTAGGATTGCCCTAGAAAGCCTGGAATGCAGGACTCTCACTTATAATAATCTTTTCACCTTCATCTGTGCAAAACCTGAAAAATTCCAAAGAACAAAACTACTTTTTTTAAAAAAAAGAAGACTTAAGGGCCAGAGGATTTAGCCTGCCTCCAAAGCACAAGGTTCTGACTTCAATCTCTGTACCAAAAAAAAAAAAAAAAAAACCAGACAAGCAATTTTCCCACACAGAAAGCTGCTCTCTAAACTTTTTTTGATGCCAGGGCCTAAATAAAACAGGAGTCGGTGGCACTGGCGCTTTTCCTTCGTCAATACACTTTACACCTGCTAACTTTCATTTCTGCTTCCTCTCCCTGCGCAACATTGTGAAGGAAACAAGCTCACAGCTACAGGTAAACCCTGCTAGGCCTCCTTCCCTCCTTCCCTCCTTCCCTTCAGCCACTTTACACCCGTGAATGTGCTGGCTCTCGAGGTCGAGAGCCGAGGGAGGAAGCCCGAGAAGTCAGAGACCGGGCCTCCGGGCGCTGCGTGACTTTCTGATTGCCGCTCTGCCTATGACTCAATAAACCAAGACGCTGTGCTAGTACTAGGGAAACACAGATTAGTAAGGCCTATAAAATAAAAAATCAGCAGTCTACCATATTATAACTAAATTTGATAATAATTATAATTAACTGCTGAAAACAGACGTATTTACAAGGAGCTAAGGAACGAAGGAAAATAGGGACCCAGTTTTAACTGGGGTAGGGAAGATTTTACAAAGCTGAGGTTTGAGCTGCGGTTGGAGGAATACTTATTCAGAAAGGTAGGAACAACAATATTCCAGGAAGGAACTAGCGTGGAGAATGAACTTGGGGGTCATCTTTCTGGGCTGATCTTTTGGGGGGCCCTTTTCCCACTTAGAGACAATTCCCTTCAGACCACACGTCACAGAGTATATAGTTTCTAAATGCTCTACAGTCAAACTGACCTCAATTTCCCCATGTTTACAGGGAGAGGCTATATTTTCCACATTCATGGGCTGAAATGTGGTCAGATGGTGGATAAAGAATATTAACATATCCACACTGGTGGTGCCCTTGTTCATACAGGACCCTGTCGGTCGTTTGCTGCAGCATTTTCCAAGCTTGTTTTGCGCTAGCTTAGCAATGCACTGGAATTTCCTAGGGAGCTTTAAAAAAATACCCATGCCCAGGTCCCACCCTCTGTGGTTCTACTTTAATCAGTCTAGTGTGCAGCCTGGGCACTGGGATGTGCTGAAGCTCCCCAGATGACCCTAACGTGTGGCCAAGATTAAGGATCACTGCTTTAGAATTACACCCATGCTTCTGCCTTTGCCACTGAATTATGGGCTCCCTTGGGGGCAGGCGCTTTTCTCCATGCTCTAAAGCTTCCACTGAGTTTCTTTACATTGATAATTGCTGATTAAATATTGACTAAATTGGATCCATAAGGACAAAGAACTACAATGATTCCTATTCTCTGTGGCTCTACTAGAACTAAAAGCAAGGATAGGAAATCATTGTGTGTTTCGGGGAGCTAAAAAATTGGCGACCATGGTGATAGGGCAAAAAACATAATTCCTGGTAAGAGCAGAATAGGTAAAATTGAAGTCACTCAGGTCAGCTGCTACATGAAGCAGAAGCCCCACCTAAGGGAGAGGTAAGGTAGTTTGAGTGTCCCCAGGCAGGTCCTGTACTCCTGACCCCCCAAAATAGTCTGCCATATATACTATAATCCTAGGGTCCCAAAGTAAAATTTCACAAAGGCCTCTTCTGCTCCATTATTTTTGAAATAAACATCTTCCATAGAGTGTTTATGAAATATAAAGGCTATTTCATTAGTAATTATATCCAGAGCCACCTGTATACAGTAAGTGTAGGAATGACAAGAAAGAAGTCACCTTTTTCTTGCTCTACCTGTCTCTTCACAGACAGTTTTGAGACTGCCATGTGATAGACTCATTGGGTAGAATATTGAAGGCCCTTATTTCACTCTCTATATTATCTAAAAGAGGAGTAATTTGCCTATCAAATTATCTATCTGGGCTCTAAGAGATGTGTTTTAATATGTGGGTGGAGAAAATGGTGATAGGTAAAAACACTAGGGCCTGGGAAGGCCTCTCTAATGAGGGAACCTAGTATTTGGTATTGTCGCTTGGTTTTGTCATTTTTATTCTGCATGTTTGTCTTCTCTACTAGGTTATGAATTCCTTGAGGATAGGGACTATGTCTTTATCTCTACATCCCTGGGGGATATAGTCAGTAATAAAGGTGTATTGAATATATGAATGGATAGATATGTTAATAAAAATTATCTAATACTTGAAAATAGGCAAAATGTTGGAACATTTAACTGCCCTGGTGCTGGGGATGGAATGGGGCCTCAATATGGCAAGTAAGTGCTCTACACTCCCAGCCCCATAGAATTTTTTTTCATATAATTTTTATTAGTACATATGTATAGTATACAATAATTATACTCATTGTGGGGAGTAGGTATATGTACATAACTTATCATAATTCTTTTTATTCCACTTCTCCTCTCTTCCCTCCCCTGTCCCTCCATCTCAAGATCCTTATCCCATTTACCAAAGATCCATCTTCCTGTTTCCTATTATCTGTCTTTTCTTTTGTTCTTTAAATTATTTCTACTTTGGGTTTTTCATATAAGAGAAGTTATGCAATATTTAATCTTGTGTGTCTGATTTATTTTATTTAATATTATGGTTTCACCATCAACATTCTTAAATGGGCCTCCCCAAGGATTATTAATTCTCTAGAAAATTAATTTGTACTTGATTTTGCTATTTACTACTCAACTAGCACCAGACGCTGTGAAGTTACATGTTAACTTGTAGATTTCTGTTTAGCAGAAAAAAATAACCCCAAAGGTTAGGTTATGGACATACTGGCTTGTAGGACATTAACCAGTCTCATGTCTACTTAGCTGAAATTTTTAATGATTTTTTTTTTTTACTTTTATTAGTACACATTTGTAGTATATAATGATTACATTCATTGTAAGTACTTAGTACATGTACACAACACATGCTGATTTTTTTAAATGCCT